ATTAAACAAGATGGAGGTCTGTAGCCAAGTTTGTTACTGACCATTTTGTTGGGCTGGCTTTAACAGCAGGCTTATGAGGTCCTGGGCCTGAATCCTAACCTAAGATATCCTTTCTTTGACGGAACCATCCAGAAAGACATGTAAAGCACATCAGATTGTCTACAGCTTAAGACCAACCTCACAAATCCTTTTTCATTAATTATAAATTTACAGAGAATATAAACTGTGATCTTTATTACCCCTTTTACTGGTTTGCACAGGGAGAGAGAAGCCAAAAGCCCAACTGGTAAGAAATTTTTACCCTTTTGCTAGCCTATCAGGCTTCTGAGTTTCCTTCCCCCAGCTCAACTCTAAGCAAAGCATTTTAAGGTGTAGAAAATTAACCTTTCCCAGGTTGGAAGAACATTATAAAAGAGATAGAATCCATTTTAAACTGCAAAAGAAGAAACAACGCCTTAGAAAGGCGTTCCAGTTAGGGTTGTCAAGAGCTATTAGCTCTTCCTATTGGGAATGGTGTTTCCCCTATTTCTTTGCCTTCCTTATTTCTTGTTCCCCTTTTGGCTTACTAGAGGAGACACATTGCTCATCTCCAAAATTCTCTTCTACTTGCAGAGATGCCTGTTTTGGCTATAGTTAGGGTTTGGCTTAGGAGCAGCATAACATTCCTCTATGAGAGGTCAAATACCTGAGTTAAATTTTAAGCTTCTGTATACCTTTCAGCGTTGTCAGAAAATCAGCCTAAGACTCCTTTTATTTGTCTAAGGTTCTGCAATGAGAAAGGAACTTGAAGGGGCCCCAGATAAGGGGGACCCTCAGATGGTTCCCCTGGAACTTGTTTCTTTAATTTGGGGGAATTAAAAAGGCCATTCCCTTGTGCAAAAGAAAATAAGCCATTTTTTCTTCGAAGTTTCAGGGTTGAAGGAGTCCCAGGGCTTTAAAATACACTCCAGGGGAGTGCATGTTAAAAGACAGTTTGTTACCCATCTAGAAAGAGAAATGAGAACAAAAGCATCCTTTTAGTCTCCTTCCTTTCGGTATGTGATCCAGATGTAGACAAAATAGCAGAGGGCATCCCCCCCAGCTATATTCTCTCTGGGGTTCCTGGATTCCTGGCACGCATTTAAATGTACCACCCATGACCGCACGCGTGACCCTCCAATCGATGGCACTAGAGGAACTAAACTTTTGGGCCTTAGTCGCGCCATCCCCCAGCTGTCTTAGTCCTCTGCCTTTTATTTCCCTTTGACCTCCTAGACTTTTGTGGCCTGTGTGTCTTCCTAAATGGATAGCAAGAAAAATCACATAATTGGGCAAGGCTCCTTTAAGGGAGGGGTCATGCTAGATTGAGCTCATATCCTGCTATTATAGCAGGTGCTAAAGCATTTACCCATTGAAAAATGGTTCCGGTTAACTTCCGGACTTAAAATGCCCTCACTAACTTGAACAGGGCTGAGGGGTGGAAAAAAAAAATTAGGAAAACCCCCTCACTAATTAAGTACTGTCTTAATGGGAGACAGAATAGATACCTTAAATGAATATAGGAATTGAATGGCCATTTTCCTGCCAGTGGGACAATATCGAGACTAAAATTTGGCTACAGAAGACATCTTACTCTTAACTGTTAAAACCAGAGCTTTCCCGTCCACAGAAGTAGCAGTAGAAAAGTGCAAAATGGAAAAGTTGTGAAGCTGCAATGTGTCTCATGAAGAGGATTTTTATTTCCAGTAGGTGGCTTAGAAATAACATGTGCTCACCTGAGAAACCATAGAAACAGAGACGTTTATTGAGTTACTACTGCCTGCTGCGATTCTTTTCCAGCAGACCTGTGTCCCTGATCTGTAAAGATTCCTGCACATTAGACACACACAGAGAGAGTAAGAGACTACAGATAGAAAGAGGAAGTTTGGCAACAGTGTAGCTGGAAGAGAGCTTTGAGATTAAAGGACAGATTTTAAAGTTGAGATCCACTCCATAGTCACCAGTCTGATGAATGAATTTCGTTTCCAGGCCCTTGCAACAAAATGATTTGGCCCTGAGAAGTAGAGGAACACCAGGTTCTTCGTTTCATGTCAAATTGGAAAAACAACACAGACACACATGAAGTGGTGATAAGGAGCTGAGAATTTAATAGGTAAGAAAGAAGGGAGAAAAAAGGAAGAAGCTCCCCTGTAAAGAGACAGAGGGAGGAGGCATGAGAGCCAAGAGAGGTGACCCCAAGTGAGGCGGAAACCAGCCAGGTATGTGTAGAGGCTGGTGGTGTCAGTGTCTCATTTGAATGGGGCTCAGGTGATTGGTTTGACTAGGCATGTCATTCACATAGCCCATGAAAAACTGGCCCTCCCATCCTAGCCCTTTAATATGCAAATGTAGGGCACCATGATGTTCTACACACGTGGAGATATGTGGGGGCAGCCGTGTTGCCAGACACACGTTGGACAGCAGTGGGAATCACCATGTTGGGTGGCCTAGTTTCTTTTTTTTTTTTTTCCCATTTATTTATTTTATTGCATTTTAGGTTTTGGGGTACATGTGAAGAACATGCAAAATTGTTGCATAGGAACACACGTGGCAGTGTGATTTGCTGCCTTCCTCCCCATCTCCTACATCTGGCATTTCTCCCCTTGCTATCTCTCCCCAGCTTCCCACCCCCCACCATCCCTCCCCTATTTCCCCCCAACTGACCCCAGTGTGTAGTGCTCCCCTCCCTGTGTCCATGTGCTCACATCGTTCAACACCCGCCTATGAGTGAGAACATGCGGTGTTTGATTTTCTGCTCCTCTGTCAGTTTGCTGAGAATGATGGTTTCCAGGTTCATCCATGTCCCCACAAAGGACCCAAACTCATCGTTTTTTATGGCTGCATAATATTCCATGGTGTATATGTGCCACATTTTCCCTATCCAGTCTATCGTCGATGGGCATTTGGGTTGGTTCCAGGTCTTTGCTATTGTAAACAGTGCTGCAATGAACATTCGTGTACATGTGTCCTTATAGTAGAACGATTTGTAATCCTTTGGATATATACCCAGTAATGGGATTGCTGGGTCAAATGGAATTTCTATTTCTAGGTCCTTGAGGAATCGCCACACTGTCTTCCACAATGGTTGAACCAATTTACACTCCCACCAACAGTGCAAAAGTGTTCCTATTTCTCCACATCCTCTCCAGCATCTGTTGTCTCCAGATTTTTTAATGATTGCCATTCTAACCGGCGTGAGATGGTATCTCAGTGTAGTTTTGATTTGCATTTCTCTGATGACCAGTGATGATGAGCATTTTTTCATATGTTTGTTGGCCTCACGTATGTCTTCTTTTGAGAAGTGTCTGTTCATATCCTTTGCCCACTTTTGAATGGGCTTGTTAGTTTTTTTCTTGTAAATCTGCTTTAGTCCTTTGTAAATTTTGGATATCAGCCCTTTGTCAGATGGGTAAACTGCAAAAATTTTTTCCCAATCTGTTGGTTGCCGATTCACTCTAATGATTGTTTCTTTTGCTGTGCAGAAGCTGTGGAGTTTGATTAGGTCCCATTTGTCTATTTTGGCTTTTGTTGTCAATGCTTTTGGTGTTTTGGTCATGAAGTCCTTGCCTACACCTACGTCCTGAATGGTTTTGCCTAGATTTTCTTCTAGGGTTTTTATGGTGTTAGGTCTTATGTTTAAGTCTTTAATCCATCTGGAGTTAATTTTAGTGTAAGGTGTCAGGAAGGGGTCCAGTTTCTGCTTTCTGCACATGGCTAGCCAGCTTTCCCAACACCATTTATTGAACAGGGAATCCTTTCCCCATTGCTTGTTTTTGTCTGGTTTGTCAAAGATCAGATGGTTGTAGAAAGGTTGTGTTGCCTCCGAGACCTCTGTTCTGTTCCATTGGTCTATATCTCTGTTTTGGTACCAGTACCATGCTGTTTTGATTACTGTAGCCTTGTAGTATAGTTTGAAGTCTGGTAGTGTGATGCCCCCCGCTTTGTTCTTTTTGCTTAGAATTGACTTGGCTATGCGGGCTCTCTTTTGGTTCCATATGAAGTTTAAGGTGGTTTTTTCCAGTTCTGCAAAGAAGGTCATTGGTAGCTTGATGGGGATAGCATTGAATCTGTAAATTACTTTGGGCAGTATGGCCATTTTCACGATATTGATTCTTCCTAACCATGAACATGGGATGTTTCTCCATCTGTTTGTGTCCTCTCTTATTTCGTTGAGCAGTGGCTTATAGTTCTCCTTGAAGAGGTCCTTTACATTCCTTGTTAGTTGTATTCCTAGGTATTTTATTCTCTTTGTGGCAATTGTGAATGGAAGTTTGTTCTTGATTTGGCTCTCTTTAAGTCTGTTACTGGTGTATAGGAATGCATGTGATTTTTGCACATTGATTTTGTATCCTGAGACTTTGCTGAACTTGCTTATCAGTTTCAGGAGGTTTGGGGCTGAGACGATGGGGTCTTCTAGATATACAATCATGTCGTCTGCAAATAGAGACAATTTGACTTCCTCCTTTCCTATTTGAATGCCCTTTATTTCTTTTTCTTGCCTGATTGCTCTGGCTAGAACTTCTAATACTATATTGAATAGCAGTGGTGAGAGAGGGCATCCTTGTCTGGTGCCACATTTCAAGGGGAATGCTTCCAGTTTTTGCCCATTCAGTATTATACTGGCTGTTGGTTTGTCATAAATAGCTTTTATTATTTTGAGATACTTTCCATTGATTCCTAGCTTATTGAGTGTTTTTAGCATAAAGGGCTGTTGAATTTTGTCAAAGGCCTTCTCTGCATCAATTGAGATAATCATGTGGTTTTTGTCTTTGGTTCTGTTTATGTGGTGAATTACGTTTATAGACTTGCGTATGTTGAACCAGCCTTGCATCCCCGGGATGAAGCCTACTTGATCATGGTGGATAAGCTTTTTGATGTGCTGTTGCAATCGGCTTGTCAGTATTTTATTGAAGATTTTTGCATCTATGTTCATCATAGATATTGGCCTGTAGTTTTCTTTTCTTGTTGAGTCTCTGGGGTGGCCTAGTTTTTAAAGGCTTGCATTTGCACATTAAAGGTTGCTGGCCCAGTGTTAAGAGCCAGGGCTTTCCAGCTAGACAAGAAACATTTCTGGAGCTGCTTTAAAAGAAACAAAAAGGTTCCAAAGACTGCTTTTCCTCTCTATCTGCCTAAAATAATTTCTTAATAACTCCTATCACATAGCTTTTCAGATGAAAATGTAAAGTCAAAGGTCAGCAGAAGGGCTTAATAATACAAGTTAGGCAGTATAGTATTTTACTTACAGTGTGATATTGTGCCAGAATTGCTAGCCTTTGCTTACCGGTAATAACTAAAATAAGCAGCCCAGGATAACTAAGATCTGTGTGTAAACAAATGCTTATCTTGACTTCTGTAAACCACTGAAGTAACAAACAGAATGACAAAAGTCCCCTGGCCCTTGGAATGTCCGGAGACCCCCACCCTCGTCTCCGCCCAGGAGGTGAATTACAGAATCCCCTGGCCGTTGGAATGTCTGAAACCTTTTCATCCCCATCCCCGCTCCTCACCCCCACTCCCAAGGTGGTTTTTCGGGTATCAAAAGTCTTGGTACCCTCCTTATGATGCCATAGGTTGGAGAGCCTTGAGTCCTCTGTGGTCGCTGGCATAATAAATGACCCTGCAATCTGGCATACTTTTGTCTTGGTGCTAACTTTCTACGCTCGATCCAGTACAACAACAGTATATACAATATTTCCCATTACAACTGATGTAATCGAAAAAAAAAAATTTGGCTTTCTTGCAATTAAAAAGTCACAAGTGAAGTTGCAGTGAGCCTAGACTGAGCCACTGCCCTCCAGCCCCAGGGCAAGACTGTCTCCAAAACAGAAGTCACAGGGATTGCATATTTATTAACCAAATTGCCAATGACCTACTCCATTCTGGAAAATAAAGAACATGGGATTTTTTTTCTTGTGATGAGAAATTTTAATTCTAAAAAAGGCCAATTCCCACTTTGTTTTTAGTCCTCTTTTAAAAGATACTTCTTCAAAATCCCAAGAAATAAAAAAAATTTGCTAAAGATCCAGCTAACTAAAAGTCCTACTGTATATCTTTACACTGCCTGCTTGCCCTTCTTTTCTTGGTGACCTGGCTATATGTGTTTTGCCCATTTTTGTGGGGTATAGAGAAGTTTGGTCTTTGAATTTTTAAGTACTCTCTAAATAATAAAGCAATGACCCTTTGTGATGTAAGTCGCATTTTTTTCTTGCACTTTATCAATTGATTTTGCTTATGCTGGGTTTTTTTTCCTGTCTTGCAGGATTTTAAATGGAAATTCAAGTTCATGTCTATCTCACTCCTTATATCACTGTCAAAGTAAATGTGGCAGAATTCATCTTTAAAGCAACTGTTAAACAGAATTACACAGACATGAGCAGTAGTCATATATAAAGCTCTCCTTAATGAGCTGATTCCAAATTATAAATATTTAAAAAAAGAAAAACAACCAACTTGTAAACCAGAAATTCCAGGCAACATATTATTCCTTTAAGTAATCCAAACTATTTTCTATATCCTAAATGCAGTCTTTTCCCCTGAGTAGATAGTGTGTGCTTTTAGCAAGAGGCAGAAGGGTGGGGATTTCACAGTGATGTACACAAAGAGGGAGGCAATTTGCTAGGTCCTGGGGAAGCTGCAGCATCTTCAAGTGCACATGTCTGCATCTCTGTGAAGTCACTTCAAAGACTTTATGAAGCTCAGATCTTATTCTGTTGAAATCAATTGGCTCCTTTCCAACCCAACATTTTATTTGATACGTTCTTCAGCTTTATGGTACTTTGTCAAGGAAGGACACTGAAATAACAGGATGTTTTCATTTAGTTAACAGTATGGTCGACAATTGAATTACCCAGACTTTATAGACTGATAATCATGATGCTAGCATTCCATATAAATTAGACAATGTCATCGGAAGTGGTTATTGTCCTCTATGATGGCTGCCATGCAGGGCATAAGAAAGTATGGCGTAAATGGAGACATTGAATAGATAAGAGAGAGATTAATAAGTAACTTGACCTTTTCCCTTTTTAATTTTGTCCAAAGAAAAAGTGTTCTCAGAGTTGTACTACTAAATAAAGAAATAAGGAGCCTCATTCCATTCTAGAAAATGTACAGGTCACTCATAACACAAAAAGTGTTTTTTTGAGTCTCTTTTTCTAAACCATGGTGGTAGCAGGGGCAGAAATAGGAACTTTTTTTGGAGGGGTCATCTTGGAGGGGTCAGCTTCAGAAAACTGTCCTCCTCTTCTAATACAGTCTAGAATGAGCTACAGTAGTGGATTTGGTACAAGTGTTTCCCCAGTCATACAGGAGGCTTTCTTTTTAAGGCCAGGAATGGTGTCCATCCACCAATGGACAGACCTCCTGATGAGGCCCTCCAGCTCATTTGCTCCTCAGTTATTACTGCCACCAGATTCTTCATCATCATTCTCCTTTCATTTCATTGGACTTCCCAGCATCACCTGTTACCTGTATTTCTCCAAACACTCTCATGTCCAAAACACAGCTATGTCTTTGAGCCTGCCTCTTTACTCTGTCCCAGAAGCTGGGTGCACAGGTCTTAACGCTTGGCACAGATTCTAACTCACATCTCGTCTACCGTATTTTGACTCAGATGATTCACTTTGTTCCAGTGGAACACTGTGGTCCAAATTCCAATCTTAAAAGGGAAAGTTGAAACAAAATTTTTAAGGACTTTCTACCTACTAAAATGTGGTCAGTCGTCAGTGCACACAACTTGAGGTATACTCTGATGTAAAAGAGTATTTCCAAAAAGATGAGGGTAAATGAAATTTTCACAAATTCATTTCTCAAATGATTGACATGCTTACTTGATTACTGAACATTTCTCATTTGCTTATACTCAGAGATTTGGGGAGATTTTAAAGAAATGTCTATTCAACAGAAGGTAATTTAACATGGGAAAGAAAACACACATAAGCACAAGGTATGGTACATGTAAGTGGATAAGAATGTGTGAACAGTAAATAAGCAAGTAAATGAATGCGATAGAGTTAACAGGCAAGCAACACATGAAATGTCAATTACTATAGGTTATGTACTGTTGCAATGATGATAGAAATGTTTGTCATTTGGTGAAAAAAAGCAGGATTCAATATGTGCAATCAATATAATCTCAAGATGTACATGCAAATGTGAAATAATATACAAAGAAGCTTAAGTATACTACTAGGTAGAGGTTATTGCAGGTAATTTTTACATTCATTTGTATTTTTTCCTAAAGAGAGACATCATTTTGGACTAGAGCATCTTGGTTGAGTGAATTCCGAGTTAATTAACCCATTCTGGGTTAATGGAATATAGATAAAAACAAAGGTGAGAAAGGCATATGAGATCAAGTATGATATCATTTAAGCAGATGTGCTTATTAAATTCAGTCTTAGTTCAATGGACTGAATGTTTGTATCCTTCCAGATTTATATGTTGAAAATTTATAGGATCTATGATGACAGCAGAGCCCTTATGAATGGGAGAAAAGAGACCCCCAACAGCTCCCTTACTCCTTTTCTCTGATGTGAGGATACAAAGAGATTGAAGCCTATTAACTAGATAAAGTGAGCCTCACCAGACACTGAATTTGCAGTTGCCTTGATCTTGGACTCTCTACCCACCAGAACTATAAGAAATAAATGCTTGGTTTTTAGAAATTAAATAATGTTTTTAAGAGACAGGTTCTTGCCATATTTCCCGGGCTGGCCTCAAACTCATGGCTCAAGCATGCCTCCTGCCTCAGCGTCCCGAGTATCTGGGACTATAGGCAGGTACCACTGCACCCAGCTTAAATGCTTATTGAGACTGCCCAGTCTATGGAGTTTTTGTTATAGCTTCCCAACTATATATACCAACAGACTAAGACAGTTGGTATATTAGAACAAGGAGCAGCCTTGAAACCTGCAGTAAGTTTACGACAAGTTAAAGATGCACTATGTAACTTGGTAGAGAATTATGGCAGAAATTTCCCCTTGCGGTAACACTCTTAGTGGTGTTTAGCTCACTCATTCATTTGATTTATTTATTAAGAATCTCTTTGTTCCAGGGACAGTTTAGATATTGGTGAAGATAAGACAAAAATCCCCGACTTCATGGAGGGAGAGAGACAATAAGGAACTTAATTATTTAATTAGTTGTAATAAAAGAAGATAAGTCTACAAAAAAAAAATAAAGCAGGATAA